TTATTCTAAAAAACCTGGATGATTCACAAACAAGTTGATAATATCAATGATTTTTTTAAAATACCTATAGTAGACAATTATGTTCAATTTCATATTATATATATGTGAGGGATAGTAATTGATCATATCAACTGGTTAGAAACAGATTTTCTAAGATATAGTAGTTCTAAAATATGACATGCAATTTTGTTTAATGATTTCATTTCTATTACCGTTCAGTTTCCTCAAAACTTCTAAAAACAATGTCCATTCATTGAAGGATGCAGGTTTCTGTCGTATGTTGGTAGAATTAAAATAATTTAATACAGTTTTTTTTGTTTTGTTTTTTTAAATAAAAGGTCATCAACAATATATAATTGGAATAAATAGAAAGACTTTATAGAGAGTACAAAAAAAAAGCAAAATTTAATCTGGATTTATCAAGTTTGATATAAAGTATTAACTCTAATATGCTGATAATTTCTACTATTTATCATTTGATCTTTTCATGTTAGGTTTTTTGCCTAAAAGATCAAATTGAAATATAACAACATCATCCTTGGGCCTAATGCCCACTGGTGTCAACAGCATTCAGGATATCACTCCCCAGTGGGATTATTCTGAATGCTATTGAAATACATCATGTTTTTGTTTTTACAGAAATACTAACTGCATCCCATATCTAACCATATTTGTGCAGCTTCAGCTGATTCAGTTTTGATTCTGTTGCCAACCACAGCTAGAGAATCCAATCAGCACTGCTATTTAATCTATAGCTGGAGGGAGAAGAGATGAATTCAGACCTTTCCCAAAGGCATTTGTTCAAAAGTGAGTATAATGTACTCAAACAGAATTTGAATTTAGCTTGCTGATTTCTTGTTCCGAGTAGCTAACCATTATGTTACCTGCACATGCCCATTGAAATAAAAGGATAAAAAAAAAAATATCAACTGGAAACAATAGGTCTTCACCAGCAATAGAAAATTCAATTCTCTTCAAGTATTTAATAAATATGGTCTTTCGTTAGACTTGTTTGATTAAATCAAAATATTACCTTTAATCGAAAGTAAAAAAAATATTTCAGTTTTGTTTTGTTCAAAGATTATAAATAGAAACACAAAGTAGATAAGACATCTAATTATTTCATTAACATTTGTTCTTTTAACCAAAGTTAATCAGTATGTTAACAGACAGATTTTGTCATATTTGATTTTAACCTTAACACAGATGCACACAGAAAATTAAATTTATACATTCAATAAAAATGCTCAACATCACTGAATCAAGAAAAAAAAACATAGGAGAAAATATAAAAAAATAGGAATGAAAAATAGACATCCATTAAAATCTACTTTCAAAAAACAAATTTTTTTTTTTTTTTTATTCAATATTAAGCAATATTAGAAGTTATTCACTTCAATATTTCATTCAATGATAAGCAATATTCAAAGCAATATCCAATCTAGATTTTATGACATTCAAATAAAAATATGAAAAGAAAAATAGCCTATCTTTAAGATGTTTCAACAATTCCACAACAATTCTTGAAAGGCAGTTCCTGAGCTTTTAATGATTTTGATCATTTCCATCTTAGATAGAATCATGGATTAAAATCTTTTGAGCCTACAGCACATTATTCTAATCACTTGATAAACTGCATGGATCAGTGTCTATTTTCTGGATTAGGCTTTGTCCACTGAGCTCTTCTCAAAATACCAAGAATTAAATAATAAGGCATAAAGATGAAATAGCCACTGGTCAAATTAACAAAATGACCTGCACTCCTGATTTATCCACTAAAATGAAGTAGTGAAGGAATCAATTATTAAAATTGATAGATACAAAAGAAAAACTGTAGAAAGACAAACTTAGAAGTGCTTTATAATGCCAGCAATGCTGTCAAATGAGCCATCAATTTCTTTTTTTACTTTTTGCTACTATTATAAGAACAATAATAATAATGATGGTGATATAGAGAACAAAGTTATGAATAAGCAAAGTTGTGTGTGAAGCACATGTATTGATTGAAAATTAGTCCATTTAATAGAAAGATGAAGAGATGATGAAAGATGGACAAAGCAACAAAAAAGAACAAACAGACAGAAACAAGGAAAAGGCTTAATTAAATCTAGAGAGTCTGTTTTAAAGGATGAAGCCAATTATTATTTTTTTGTTTGTGTGTATATACATGGGACAGAAGACTATTTGACACACGCACACAAAAAGAGTGTTTTACATTTCTATTAAGATAAGATGAAACGTGATAAACTCACACAAACCCACCATCACATAAGTTACTATCTAATAGTCTCTGACTAGAAGCCCAATTGAATAGTAACAACAACACGAAGGCTGTTTTTTATTGACTTGTGAAGCGTGTGTATCTGTTTTGTGTGTGAAAGAGGGAGATTGGGCAATGGCGGTTGTTGTTATTGGAGGAAATCAACCAAGTATGAAGACTCTGGCAAAAGAGGCCATTGGAAATTAATATTCTACCAGAAATTAGGCATTTCAGCAAATTTCCTTTAAAGTTATTGTTGGCACTGACTTCTTTGAAGAGCGATTAGCTTGTCAGCCGGTCAGTATGTCTGCCTGTCAGTTTGTCAATATGAACAGTAGCTTTTCTTTATTTTTGTCTTTCATTTTGGTAGTATCTCAATGTGGAGCAGTAATGTAGAGTTGAGCCCTCAAAAGAAGAAAACAGGAAAAAGAAATCCTTTTATTTGGGGGCTTATCTTGTCCCTGGCAATTTCTTGGCCTTCATTGAAATGTGTGTGGCAGAAACATACATGCACCAAAATAGAAGATTAAGAAATCATCTCTTGTAGTATGGAAATTACAAGTGAGAGAGCAGGAGGGACAGAGAAGAAACGAATGAACGAGCGAGTGGGAGATACAGAAAAGGAATGAATGAACGAGTGAGCGGGAAGGACAGAGAAGGAGTGAGCAATCGGGAGGTACAGAGAAGGAACAGACGAGTGGGAGTGACAGAGTGAGAACAAGTGTGACTGAGGGAATGAGTGAGTGAGCAGGCAAGGTTGTAATAGAGTGAGTGGTTGAAGGATGGAGAGAGTGGTTAAAGGTCAAGAGAGTAACTGATTAATGAAAGAAGAAAGAAAATCATTGAATGAGTAAGAGTTTGAGAGAACAAAATAATTACTCAATAGGTAAAGAAAGAAAAAGTCATTGAAAGAGAGAAAGCAAGTAAGAGACAAAAATTGTAACTGAAAAAAGAGAAGAAAGAAAAACGGAAAAAGTTTAATGGGAAAAATAAAGGAAAAGAGTAAATCAGAGAGAGAGAGAGTAATTGATAGATATAGAACAGATGGGATAGAAGGCAAGAGAGGAGGAATGATGGAAGATCTGTGACAAAGGCTTAACAGAAATAGAATTGGAGAAAAGAAAACATTATGGTTTGGGTTAAGGCAAAACCAAGCTTACAGTTGAAAAAAAGCTTGAGAAAGAATGAGAGAAATAAAAAGGATGCGAAAGATAGCGACTGAGACCAAAAAAAATGAGAAACATCCAAGGAATGAAATAGTCAATGAGTCTTTGGTTTTATAATCATTCATATAAGGATGTTTAGAACAAATAGGAAACGGTTGGTTCTATTTCTTCTGCTACTTCTATTCTCTACAACATTTTGTATTTCTGTTGCTCAGGATTGAATAAAGAACCACACCCAAAACAAGACACACAAAGATGAAAATCTTGCACAAGATAAACAATGTACAATGATACAGATACAAAATTTTATATGTACATCAATACACAAAAAACAAATATCATTCTAAATACAGACAAAACATTATATATAACCTTCATTGACATGTTACTTAGATATCCGCATCCTAGCCGAAGATTGTGTAAATGCACACATACCTAAATATTCACATTCAGGAAACATGTAAATATCTACATGTGCGGTAATATATGCCTGCATACTAAAATGTAAATGCATGAGTTGCAGCTTGTATTCGAGTATGCCTGTCAGTTCGGGTGTCTAGCTAGTCCCTATTGAAGACACATACTCAGGCGTGTTTGCTTAAAATTCACAGAGCAAAACTTATTTATACTGCAACTATGTTCAACAGGCCATAGTTCCAGATTCTGGGAGAGAGAGCATAATCTGGTATGATAACCAGTTTGAAGAAGTCCAGTACACTCAAACTCTTAGTCACAATGACTTGTGACTTCATGCTTGCACATCCATCAACAGCTTCTCAACAGTTTTGTTTAGCCAATTACACTCACAAGGCTTGTGACTTGTTAACTTGTGGTATTGTTTTCAAACATGTTCCAACAGTTCCACATGCTGAAATTTGAACTAGGCTCTCATGGTTGCAACACTATTGTTCTAATCACTTCGCTATACTTACACACAAAATAAATAAATAAATATACCTGTAATAAATATAAGATTTCATAAACACTAACATATTCACTGATAGAGAGACTCACACCCATATATGTATATTTAGAGACCCTCATGCATACACACAGATTGTGTGCGTATATATATATATATATATATATAGATAGATAGATAGATAGATAGATTGTGTATGTGTGTACTTATGTTTATATATAAATATAGATTTTTTGTGTATTAAGCAGCAATACTTCTGTCATGCACATTTCATTGAATACGACAGACAACGTGCTTTGATTTAGGTTTTTTTTTTTTTATACAATTTCTCATATGAAAATTTTTTTCAGACGATAAAATTATATAAAAACTGTCCGAATGTTCTTTTTTTTTCTGAGCACTTTCAGCTATACATTTAGCCATTTTCAAGGATGAAATATTTTAACTGTTAAATAAGAAATAGATATATATATTAAAGATATAAAGTAATGAAAAACAAAAACTTACTTCATATCTTTGATGTGATGCAGCTTCAATAGTTGGAGACTCCTTCCCTTTACGGACAGACGGATTTTGCCCAAGCACATTCTACAATAAGATTGTAAGAAAATAAAAATTGAAAACCATTTATCATGGCACAATGAAGTTTAAGAAAGTATTGTTTTCAAAACATCTTTAAAACATTTAAATTATAAAACTGTGACAGTTAATTTGTTCGAATATAAACCAATGTACGCAATTTCAGTGATGCTCTCTGAGTCTATACTACCACATAGGTAAATTCAGTCCAAAGTGTTTCCCTCTGTAAAATATTAAACAAGTCAAATCCATATTGTTAATACACATTTAGTATTGCTATCAGTGTGAATAGTACTGTGGATAATAACTGTGGATACTATTAAAATTTCAGTTATATCACTAAGTCTAACAAACTTGAGAAAATTTAATCAGGAATAATCAACAATTGATTAAAAAATACAGAAAATGATTGATTTATTTCAGCACTTATTTATATCATCTTCAGAACTGTAATTTGAATTTTTTTGTCAGTTATTTTTGCCAAACTGCAAGATTATTATATAACAAATATAACAATTTTTTTTCTAATTCTTGCAAAGTTTCCATTGATGCTAAAAACTAGTAAAATAATACAATCAAATATATACACAAAATTATTTCAACAAGGCTGGATTTGAAAGGCTAACCATGCAATAAAATGTTCTGTAGGAGTAATATTAAATGTTCTTTTTTTTTGGTTCAAAACACATAGCTGGCTACATTTTCATTCAAAATACACTTTATGGTGTTAATGTCACAAAAGTTAATATATAAACAATAATAGATAAATTATAAGTAAAGACTACAGTTCAAGATTACTTATATAACTTGAGACATCACATTTGGGTAGCAAATGGTTGAGTGGTTAGAATATAGCATTATTATTGTGAGTTCTATTCATAAACTGAATCAATATTTTCTAAATGCAGGTTTAGAAGATGATTACTTTATTTTTCTTTCTCAAAAAGTAGCCTAATATTTATCAATTTAAAAATCTAGTGTCATCTTTCCAGAAGGTTATATTCAATATCACTGAACAAGGCATAAATTAGAATCCCCTGTACTACATGGGTGGTGGGGAGGGTGTCATCTGTATATTACATATTGCTGAAATGAACTGATTGTAATATTAATGACCATCTTGTGCTGTTAAAAAGAAAAAAAAAATACAAAACAAGACAGCACCCCCCATATGGAAAATACATACAAAAAAAGCTCCAGAATGAAATGGCTGAAACATTGTGGTAAGATGTTCAGTTGTCAACACAAAACTAAGAATGCAAAAAATCACATTTGGTATCATTTAGGGATTATACAGAGATTTTAAGGTATCCTTCATGCAGAACATGAAGGAAAAACTCTGCAATTTGAATTGTGTCAAATAAGACCTGCCAGTATTCTCTCTCTCTATATATATATATATATATATATATATATATATATATATATATGTGTGTGTGTGTGTGTGTGTGTGTGTTTCATTAAAGATGGCTGACAGGGTGCTGCAATTAAGCTTTTTATTAAATTTTTTTTTCTGTTCATACAAGAATCAAGATTTTATATGGATGTCATGCATGGCACCAAACTCGTTCAGAAATATATAAACTTTCAGCTGTATATAACCACTTTCTCAGATCAATGGCTAAAAATGGCTTCAAGCAAGTGGAACATGTGTCAGTCAGGACCATACTATTTCAAACCTCATGGACTGGCACCACAAAATCACAAAGAACTGAACCAGGACTTTCAACAGCAGCAACAACTAAAATGGATAGCACATGCAACTTGAAGACATGATCAATCTATTGGTACTACTCGAAAAAAAAAAAAAAAAGTTGAAGCAAGCAAACATTGCATCAGTACTGGAAAGAGCTATAACAGTTACTGAAAAATTGTTTTAACAGAAAGATTTTCCAAATTTCAACCAAAAAAAGCACTGGGTGTTCAGTTAATGAATACAGGCTAATATTACATATATATATATATATATATATATATATATATATATATATATACACACACATACATACATACATACATACATACATACAGGGTTGGACAAAATAATTGGAACATTTGTTAAATTCAAAGAAAATTTATTTAATATGGAGTTGGTCCTCCTTTAGCCTCACATTCAGCTTTAATACGTCTAGGAATGGAATCATACAGCTTCCTGACTTCATCCAGAGGAATTTTCAGTCATTCTTCCATTAAAACCTTCTCCAGCTCTTTACAACACAACAGTGGAGGATAGCGGCTCTTAACTTGTTGCTCCAAAATGCACCACAAATGTTCAATAAATTGATATCTTGAAATTGGGGAGGCCACTCCATATGTTCTAACTCACTTTCATGCACTTCATATTAATTCTTAACCACTCGAGTGGTATGTATTGGAGCATTATCGTCTTGGAAGATGCAGTCACCATCAGGGAATAAAGTCTTGGCCATTGGATGAACATGATCTCCCAAAATGTTCAGGTAATCTTTGCTGTTGATTCTACCATGCAGGGCAACTATTGGAGACATTTCCACGATATGGCGGCCCAAACTATCACTGATCCACCTCCATGCTTCACTGATGGAAGAAGGCAGTCAGAGCTGTAAGCTTCTTTGAGCTGCCTCCACACAAACTTGTCCTGAAGTTGGGAAAAGAGAAAAACTGGACTTGTTTGAGAATATAACTTGCTTCCATTGGTCTGCAGACCAGACATTGGGATCTCTGCACCACTTCAACTTCTTTTGAATGTTGCGAGTGGAGAGAAGAGGTTTCCTTACAGTGGCTCTTCCATGATATGCAGCCTTATGGAGCTCACAGTGAACAGTTTTAGTAGAAACTGAACTATTCAGATGGTCATTCAACTCAGCAATCGCTTTGGCCACATTTGTCCAATGATTTTTTGCCACATTGCATTTCAATGCACGTCGGTCCCTGTCAGTAAGTTTGCAAGTCCGGCCCGAATTGCTACAATTGCTAGATGTCTTTCCCTGTTTCTCGAATTGCATCAGGGTTCTTGATATGGTAGCTCTTGAAAAATCAAACAGTTCAGCAACCTTAGTGATCGAGGCCCCTGTCATGCAAGCTCCAACAATTTGCTCTTTTTCAAACTCGGAGAGGTCACACATTTAGCTTAAATTTTACTAAATTCTAAAAATAAACAAGACAAAGACAGTAAATTAGATAAATAAATGTATTTACAATAGATATAACCTGCAATTATGAAGTTTTAGTTAAAGTTCTTAATATAATAGGTCTTTGAAAATATAATTGGATTTTGCAACTGTTCCAATTATTTTGTCCAACCCCTATATATATATATATATATATATATATATATATATATATATAAGAAAATATCTTGAAATAGCACCTGAGAGCAAAGGTCATAAAAAGATAATCAAAGTAATGTTATCTTTCATTTTTTCAAATTAGCATCATTTATTTTGTATATGAAGTATAAAAATCATATTTTTCACTCCACTTGACTGAGAGGTACGATTTCTTTCAAGAAAGAAAAAAAAAACAACTGCAACAAATGTCAATGTATATGTGCGTGTAAAGTGGCTAAGATTTTTTTTGTGATCCAACAAACAGAACAAACACTGTTGTTCTCTCTGATGGCCAATAACAAACAATATGTCTATTAGCTTAAAAGGCAAAGGGGCCCACAAGAGAAAGAAGGGAAAAAAGTGAAAAAGTGCCGCCCAGGAAGAGGGCTGGATGATCACCTCCCCATTGCCTGTTGTAGTCAAGTGGAGAAGAAAAGCTGAGCAAAGAGTCTGCACTAATCAAGCAAAAGTCCTGCAACAGTTACTTGTAGGGAAAGAGGGTGGAGCAGAAGTTCCCCAACCACATTTTCCCTGTACGTCACCCATCGGTTTCTTCTCAGGTGACTGAAGGTATGTAATTCTTTTTGTAGAGAGACTCAGGTGTACCTTGTTATCCTCAGCTGAGTGACTAGGGAGGCTTCTTTATCTAAATATAATTTGCAGCTTGACTGATCATACCCTCAGTATCATTAGTTTTTTCTAACACACACTCAGAGAACCGTGTGTAAATTTGAAATTAGTAGGATGAAAGGCAAGTTACATCAAGTAAGCAGAGGAAGTGAAATAGTAAATATTCTAATATCAATGTCTTTTTGATCCAGCTTGAAAAGTTATAAGTATAATGTGGAAAATGATTGAACAATATCTGAGAATGACTAGAGGATTCACTTAATTGTGATGAGAAGGGGATCATCTTCAACAGAGAAATAACAGGACTAACCAGAGACCAAATATACGGTTATTAGCAAATAGGACAGCTCAAGATGCAAGCTACAAATAGGAGATGTCAAAATCAAACAAGTACAGAAATTTAACCATCTGCAGACTGGGGAGTATTATAGACAACAGAAATTTAGGTAAAGCAATATGATTTTATATATATATATATATATATATATATATGTGTGTGTGTGTGAGATATATATGAATAATATATATAAGTGAACATTGAAGTCAACAAACTGTTTCATGCTAGACACAATCCACAGGCCTGATGATTGTGCCTAGTAAACAGTCTGCTGCCTCTGACTGTTGACTTCAATATTCACTTTTATATTTACATACACTATCTCTGATATTGAGCACTTTATCCCATAAATATAGCACACCTTAAAACTATATATATAAGTGTGTGTGTGTATGGTCATATTGCTACATATTTGTTTCCATATGCTATAATACTCTCCAGATGGTTAAATTTCTTTACTTACTTGATTTTGACACCTCCTATTTATAGCTTGTTTCTTGGGTTGTCCCTTTTGCTAATGACCATACACTCTACACAGGACTGTGTACATTTATATGAAATGAGTAGGATGAAAGGAAAGTTAAATCAAGTAAGCAAGCAAGTGAAACAGCAAATATGCTAATATCATTTTTTTTTTTTATCCAACTTCAAAGAAGTATAATGTGGAAAAAGATGGAACAATATCTGTGAGAATGACTAGATGATTCATTTGTGTTGAGAAAGAGATCATCTAT